TATCAGAGTTAGGAGGAATGATAAAACTCAGTCGTGGTCAAAGTAAATCATGTCTACATGACACTTCAGTCGCCATCGTTCGACTCAGAATGATTGAAAACCTTTATGAATATACAATAACGAGGCTCTTTTCTCTAAAAAAATCGCATTTTTGACACGTTACAGACGCTCAGTGTAGCGAGAATAACTTTCGAACGGTGAATGATAGAAAGATCGGGTTTGCGTAGATTAACATATCAACTGGTTGAAAAATTTTTTTTTCTTGCCGATTCGATAAAAATTATATCATTCGAAAGAGCTCGAAAAACTGAATCTGATGATATAATTTTCTCAGAGACGTACTCCCAAGTCCCCAGCAAAATTTTTCAAAATAGATTTTCAAGCAAGAATACTATACCTTTTCGTTCTCTTTCTATATATTTCTCTTTTCTCTTTCTCTTATTGCACATGCAAACGTGTTCATATATTATAAAACCAATCGAAAAGTACGAAAGAGTATCTATAAAAATGAAATCGAATATTTTATTGCAAGGCAATCAAAATAGTATCTTCGAATAAAGATTTTTCTCTTTCAAAAATATCCAACTATGTGCTGCTAGCAAAAGAATCGAAGGTTAGTGACGGATAACAAAAAGAATAGTTCAAATGAGTGTCTTAATGTATGTCATGATAGATATTTCTTACTGGAATAAACCAGTAGCTGTCTTATTGTCGCTCACACAAATCTTTAGACTATTCATGCTAAAATAATTCGCTATAAAATTACAAAATAATCACATGACATTTTTGCACAAAATGATTTTTAGGGCATCTTTTCGTTCTTGTGAATGCATAGAGGAAGACATGACTATCTTATAGAAATTTCGGCGCCATCCGTACAGTTGCATCATCTTGAAGACTACTATCGACTAGGAATAATAAAATGTTATATTAGAAATCACTCACCACTCATCTTATCCAAACAACTAAATATAAAGATCTTTCAGTATCAGGTGTTGGCATCTATTCATATACCGGCCGTAATGGAGGGTATATAAAAAATTATTAACTATGCTCGTATCAGATAATCTTATTTTTTCCTGAAACTTCTCCAACGGTTTTCTGTCCGATTAACCGAAAAATTGGTTTGTGTTACATAGTAAGGAGCTTGATCTACATTTTCAGCATCTTTTTCATTATAGCTTTCTTGTGTATCTTCACTATCATCAACAGATGATTCATCTGATTGATTAGAATTTACTGAGCAGCTAAGAAGATCATCTTTCGCACTGACATCTTCTTCACTATCATTATCGATCCGTGTTCCTTGCAAGGAATATTTAATCATTGGTATACGATCCTTATGATTAGCGAAATTCATCTCAAGTCTCCTGTACAAATTCTGAATCATCGTTCTGAGTGGATATTTTGCTCGATTACTAGATGAAAAGTACAGGCGTGATAATAAATCATTCGATTTTTCAACTCCTTGCATATCATATGCTCGCAGGTCTTCGTGAGTATCTTGTTCTGCCAAATGAGTACCTATCAGGTGTATATAAGGAGTACAACCAGTTCTTAGACCTGAATGACGAAACTCTTCTACGAATGACTTTGCAATTTCGGCTAAATCTTTTGTTCTTTCTGATTTTTCTGTTTTGATTAGCTGAAGAATGAGTTTAAACTTTTGAACTAGGTTTTTTGCACTCTTACAACGATCTTCGTTTTCGATAATATTTGCATAAGGAAATGAGTCAATAAAAAGTGCTTCTTGAAGATGACCTGAAAATCGACCGCAAGATACAATTGTTTTTACATTGTTTTCTGTCTCAAGTTTAAAGAAAAACCGCTTCCCAATAGTTTCGTCAGCATGTTTATTCAGAACATCAATTTTTTTTCAAGTTTTTTAGTATGTGCTGGCTCGTACTCTCCCGTACGCGAAGCTTCAGCTAAAATGTCTTTTAAAATTATATCAAAAATCCTAAATCGTATATGAAGAATATCCGGTACATAGTCACTGAATTCAAACAAATCTCCAAAAAGAGGCTCTGATTGATATCCTAATTCGTTATTACCTCGACTTTTTTCTTTTTTTCAAGCAATCACGTTTTTCTTCGAGTGTGCGTTAACCTAAAGTTTTATCGTATACTGAAGTAGGATTTACAATTGTTTTAATTTTTTCTTTTTTTCTGTTTTTTCCTGACCCTACCCATACTTCTGCTTCAAATGCTGTGTTTTTTTCAGTTACATGAAGATAAGTTTTATGCTGAGTACAAAAAACACATGGATAATTGCTGTGAACACCTGCTAAACCAAACACATACACTGCATTTTGATAATCGCCGCCTAATCTAATTTTAACGGTGACACTTTTCTTTTCATTGATTTTCAATTGTTTTACTGACTGAACTGAATCAAGAAATTCTTTTGGTAGAGTTTTCCGCAAGAGTTCGTTTGACTCTTTGTATTTCAAAAATACCAACAGGTACGAGCTTTTTAGCTGTTTGACAGGATGGCCCTCCGTCAACGCAGTTCACAGAGATAGCAACGACATGTTTGTTACCCATAAGGGTACCATCCATGTTTAACCGAAATGAAAGATGATTTATATTCAGAAGATCAGGTCGAAATTTAACAGCAACAAAAACAGCAGCTCGTAAACAGAACTCGAACGGAACATACGGTAAATCTTTACTGTATGTTAAAGGAATATTCTGATTAGCTTTTATTCGCACTCGATCGATTTCAGCCAGCGAATAGAACGATTCGTTGGTCTCTTTAAAAAACTGATACATAGCTT